GGGCCTGGGCTGGGGATTCGAACCCGCCACCTTAGGTGTATATGGCTGGCGCCTTAGCCGCTTGAGCCACAGGCACCGAGCCAAAAATTGCTTTCTTGATGATGATCTTATAGCTCCCACCCACCAGTTAGTGTTGGCAGATAGCTACCTAAACAGCCAAAAGATCAGATTGTAAAAATACCGTCTTACAAGGTCTGACAATTAGGTTCACAAACTTGCCACTGTGCACATACATTGGCAACACTGTACAAATAACTGCATAATGTTTCATAACCTTGGTACATCAGCATTTCACACATGAATTCATGTGGTATCTTGTTGAGTGGTATTCATTACGGTTATGTTTTTGTGTGCCATCAGAATGTTAGAACTAGAAATAGAGCATAGAACAAACGTTTGTAAATTTCTTGTTAAACTTGGCAACAGTGAAAGTGAAATCAGTGACATGTTAGTCCAAGTTTATGGGAATAATGTCATGAAGAAAATGACAGCATATAAATGGATTAAATATTTTTCTGGGGGTAAAGAAGGCATCATTGATAAAGAAAGGCCAGGGTGGGGGCCCCTGTAGCTCAGTGGGTAGGGTGCCGGCCACATACACTGAGGCTAGCGGGTTCAAATCTGGCCCGGGCCAGCTAAAACAACGACAACTGCAACAACAAAAAATAGCTGGGCGTTGTGGCAGGTGACCGTAGTTCAAGTTACTTGGGAGGCTGAGGCAAGAAAATCACTTAAGCCCAAGGGTTTGAAGTTGCTGTGAGCTGCGACACCAGATTTGAAGTTGCTGTGAGGCACCACAGCACTCTACACAGGAGGACAGCTTGAGACTCTGTCAAAAAAAAAAAAGGCAGGCAGGCCAGGGTGGCGAGTAATGAGCAGCACCGACAAAAACATTGCAAAAATTCATCAAATTGTGCCTCAAAATCATTGGCTATGAGAAGCACAGCAGACCAAAAATTAACACCAATAGGGCCAAAAAATTCATGGCTTTTGCATCAAGACAATGCACTAGCTCATACAGTACTGTCTGTGAGGGAGTTTTAACCAATAAACTGTATTGGAACACCCTCCCTACTCATATGCTCTGACCTCCAAAGACTTTTTTTCTTTACCCAAAGATAAAGGAAATATTGTAAGGATGACTTTCTGATGACATTTAGGGCATCAAGGTTAATACAATACAACAGCTTTTATGGCCATTCCAGAAAAAGAATTCCACAATTGCTTTGAAGAGTAGACTAGGAGCTGGTGTCAGTACACAGCTTCCCAAGGGTTGTACTTCAAAAGTGACTGTAGTGATACTCAGCAATGCAGTATGTAGTATTTTTTCTAGGATGAGTTCACAAACTTAACTGTCAGAGCTTGTATGATTAAGAGTGCCAAACAGAGCCTGGTAGCTTCTAAGGTAGAACCTGGCCAAGTCAGCTGCTTCAACTTCAAAGCCCTCCATGGGGCGGTCTTAGCCAGGCTCACTCAGGTTCCTTCTCCCACTGATCGGGCCAAGCAGGACTTGTTAAATGTGCACAGAGCTCCCAGCACTCAGTAGGCACTAAGTATGCATTGAATATAAACCTGGAATTTGCCTTCAGATTATACATTTAACAAATACCCAGCTTGCTTTCTTCCTTTTTCTTTCTTCTCCAGTTTTCTTCAGATCTTCACGTTTCTCTCTTCACTGAGGCAGTTAAGAAAGGGCAGTTATATTCTTTTTTCTTTCTAATTTTTTGTTTTTTTATTTTTATTTATCTTTTTTTTGTTTTTTTCTTTTGGCAGTTATATTCTTTATAAAATTTTCCTTCTCAATAGAAGACAGTTCCCTTTAAGCCTATCATATCTAAATGCAATCAGCTTTACATCTTTCACTTACTCAACACTCCACAAAGTACATATGCTATGTGGTATTTATTCAATGACTTTCTATATTTAGTCACCACTTAAATCATTGCTAAGCTCTTTTTATGTCTGTATCATAGTTCTAATTCTTAGATTGTGAAGTCAATACGCCTGTGAGCTATGATTTATAATGACTAACATGGTGTTATAACCAAAGAAGCTCTAAATAAATGTGGAAAAAGAGAATGAGGATGGAGATGAGAATCCTGAGGAAGGGCCCAGACTGGCTGCCCAACTGATGGACCTGAGGCCAGAATGAGGCTTGGGATCTGCTTTCCCCTCTGCCCAGAGGATCCATCTAAGGGCGATTCTAATAAGGCACAGTGGTGAAGGACACTATTGGTCCCCTAAGTGTGGTCCTCTGGCTCACAGCAGCCCCTCACCTGGAAACAGTGCAAAAAGTATTCCATTTAGATGATCTTCTCATACACATGGAAGCAGCAATCTCTAATGAAATGGAGACAAGGTCTTTCTTGGAAGAGAATGCCCCAGAAGACAGTCTCTGCTCCAAGACCAACCAGGTCCCTTTAAGGTCCCTGAGAACAACAGCCTGGGAGCAACCAAGACTTTCAAAGGCTGACAAGGCACACAGTGGATAATGGAAAGATAACATTACATGAAAAAAACTTTGGCTTATAAAACCTCCAACCTGAGACAGGGACATCAGTGCCCACTAACATGCAGAAACAAATATAACAGAGATGATTATCAGAAATACTTCAGAAATACTTCCCACACTGAGCACATCAAAACCCTGCTATACCCTCTCCCACCCCTCTGATCTCAAACACACACACAATCTGCAGAGTAAGTCAGATGTTGGCATCCACAGCATGATGTCAGGATAGAACTCTTGGCACTGTGCACTAAAACACCATGACTAGTTCAGTCTAGACAGCAAAAGTAACACTGGCCTAAGCATGAACTGAAGGGTCCATCTTGTGAAAAGAAGCTGCACCCAAGACAGCCAGGTCTGGAAAGTCTTTCACTTCTCCTACTTCACTGAAAGGCTGTCCTCCTTGGTTAAATGTTAGCTTATATCGTAACCGGATAGGTTCCTAGGACATAAGAAATACATTAAATTAGTGAGTAGTATCCAGAGGCCAGCCCAAAGTAAAAGCTTTCACCCATGCCGGAGCTAATAAACAGTAGATATATATTAATTCAAGTCAAGTGAGGGCTTCAAACGATTGTATGACATGGACCACCCTGGACTACCCTCTTAAGGACTACAAACACAAAGGGAGCCACACACACATCCTGTGAGCCCATCTAGACTTCTGCAGTCCTGAAACAGAGTGCAAATTCAGAGACCAGCTAAGGAAAACAGGCCTCACCCTCTTAAGGGACTTCATGTGATTAGGGAAAGTTCTAGTGCCCTTCCCTTGGTTCCCAGACATGATAATCCATCACAGATCATCTTTCATTAATTCTTAAAGGAAAAGAGACTCCCGCAAGGGATATTCCATACAACCCCATACAACCAAACTAAAGATTTTAAAGCAGGACTTCAATGTGCCTCTCTCCACCCCAGAAAGTTACTTCCCTATAGTTCAGGGGCCCCATTTCCCTGTTACAAAAGAAACCAGAACATACTTTATGTGGATTGTCAAGAAGAAGCATCTGAGATATCACAGCTGGAGGCATCAAAGGGCTGAATGCAGGAAGCTTGGTGCTGGATGCTGGCTGCAGCTTTACTCTCATTGACTATTAGGGAAAGAAACCCAACATATAACTCATTCCAAACAAACGACATCTTTCATGAGAGAGATGGGTTTCTCAGGAGACATGATATCCCAGGGTGCCCCGACTAAGGAGATAGCTCCCACTAATTGATGAAAGGACTCAAATTGACCTTCCACACACAGAATACACCAAAATTTTTGTGGTCAACAGCTGGCATCTGAAAGGCAGCATAGACAGTACATCTTGAGTTGAATTCTAACTCTGCTTCTTATCAGTTCTGTAAGCTTGGGCAAAATATTTCACTTCTGAGCCTTGGATTGATAATTTATAAAATTAGTTGTTAATCAATGTAGCCTTACTTACCTTGAAAAGGGGTGAATATATTATCCCAAATTGTCCAGGTACCTTAAATCTCTGGACATATTATTGGTTCAAAGAATGAAAGTAACATCACCAAGGCCAATCACAGCTCACTCTTGGGTAATCAGTAAGCACGCCTCCTATCAGCTGAGTTTCTTTCTGAGATAAAAAGGGTTTCTTGCCCAGGCACAGTGCCTCACGACTATAATCCTAGCAGTCTGGAAGGCCAAGGTAGAATTGTTTGAGCTCAGGAGTTTGAGAACAGCCTAAGCAAGAGCAAGACCCTGGCTCACGACTATAATCCTAGACGTCTGGGAGGCCAAGGCAGGTAGATTGCTTGAGCTCAGGAGTTTGAGAACAGCCTGAGCAAGAGCAAGACCCTGTTTCTACTAAAAAAGAAAACTTCGCCAGGCATCATGGTAGGCACCTATAGTACCCAACTACTCAGGAAGCTGAGGCAAATGGATCACTTGAGCCCAGGAGACTGAGGGTGCTGTGAGCTAAGATAATGCCATGGCACTCTACCCACAGTGACAGAGTGAGACTGTCTGAAAAAGCAGAAAAAAAGGGTTTCTTCCTTGATGAGATAGTTTTTGGAAAGGAAAAATAAAAGCATTAAGGACCATGCAACCCCCTGGGGCCACTGGGAACCAGGATGCTGCTTTGTGGAAAGAATATTAGAGAACAGTCTCAAAGAAAAATTCAAGTCAAAAAAAGGGCCGAGTGTACCCCTGTAATCCTAGTACTCTGGGAAGCCAAGGTGAATGGCTTGAGCTCATGAGTTCAAGACTAGCCTGAGCAAGAGTGAGACCCTGTCTCTACAAAATAGCTAGGCATTGTGGTGGGCACCTGTAGTATGAGCTACTTAGGAGGCTGAAGCTAGTAAATCACTTGAACCCAGGATTTTGAGGTTGCTGTGAACTATGATGCCATGGTACTCTACCCAGAGCAACAAAGTGAAACTCTGTCTTAAAAAAAAAAAGAAAAAAAGAATGAGAGGCGCCTGTGGCTCAGTGAGTAGGGTGCCAGGCCCATAGACCAAGGGTGGTGGGTTCAAACCCAGACCCAGCCAAACTGTAACAAAAATATAGCTGGGCATTGTGGGAGGCGCCTCTAGTCCCAGCTACTCGGGAGGCTGAGGCAAGAGAATCGCCTAAGCCCAAGAGCTGGAGGTTGCTGTGAGCTGTAACGCCACAGTACTCTAATTCTAAAAAAAAAAAAAAGAAAGAAGATGAAAAGAGACAGATATACAAAGAATTCATTTAAAAACCTGGATCTTGGCTCGGCACCTGTGGCTCAAGAAGCTAAGGCACCAGCCACATACACCTAAGGTGGCGGGTTCAAATCCAGCCCAGGCCCGCCAAACAACAATGACAACTGCAACCAAAAAATAGCCAGGCATTGTGGTGGGCGCCTGTGGTCCTAGCTACTTGGGAGGCTGAGGCAGGAGACTCGCTTAAGCCCAGGAGTTGGAGGTTGCTGTGAGCTGTGACACCACAGCACTCTACCCAGGGGGACAGCTTGAGGCTCTGTCTCAAAAAAAAAAAAAAAAAAAAAGAACCTGGATCTACTCTTATCTGAAATCAGATATTCTGAAATGCCCAGTGAGATAAATCATTAAATTCCTACTTTATCTTAAACCAACTTGAATGAAGAGTCTTCCTCTTATACCTAACAGATGACATCCCAAGAAAGGACCTGGTGCTTCAAGATAGCTATTACTGAAAAGTTCAAAGGAGCTAACCAGCAGATGACTCACCTTTGGCACAGCAACTTGAAACATGATGTCCCAAACAGGCTGGGTAGCAGTGCTCATCATAGTCAAGAGCAACACCTGTACTTCAGGGTGGCCAGGGGCCCCAGTCTGGGAGAAGTGCAACAGAATTCTGAATCCATTCCGGTCATACACAATCACAGGCGGCAGGCTGCCTGGGAGAGAGGGCCCAACCAGAAGGGTTAGCATGGCTACAAAATCCCCAAACAGCAAGGCTGGAGAGTACTGTGGTGTCACAGCTCACAGCAACCCCCAACTCTTGAGCTTAAGTGATTCTCTTGACTCAGCCTCCTAGTAGCTGGGACTAACAGGCACCTGCCACAACACCCAGCTATTTTTTTTGTTGTAGTTGTCGTTGTTTGCCATGCCCAGGCCGGGTTCAAACCTGCTAGCCCCGGTGTATATGGCTGGCACCTTAACCACTGACCTACGGGTGCCAAGCCACACATTACCAATTTTAAAGAATGAAAATATTTTGATGGCTCAGCGCCTGTGGCTCAAGTGGCTAAGGCACCAGCCACATACACCTAAGGTGGTGGGTTCAAATCCAGCCTGGGCCCACCAAAGCAACAGTGATGGCTGCAACCAAAAAATAGCCAGGCGTTGTGGCGGGCGCCTGTAGTCCCAGCTACTTGGGAGGCGGAGGCAGGAGATTCGCTTGAGCCCAGGAGTTGGAGGTTGCTGGGTAGAGTGCCGTGGCATCACAGCTCGCAGCCATCACTGTTGCTTTGGCGGGTCCGGGCTGGGGATTCGAACCCGCCACCTTAGGTGTACGTGGCTGGCGCCTTAGCCGGTTGAGCTATAGGTGCCGAGCCAAAAAAAAAGAAAATATTTTGATGAAGATAATAGGCACTGCTATCTATTCATTTCTTTCTAGTATCTTTCATAGGATAACAGCTCCATACACAAACCTTTATGTTTAATTGTACAAAACAGTAAAGATATCAAATCTCCTCTAACTGGTTTAATAAAATTCCAATAGAAATCCTAAAGAGATTGTTTTAATTTAGATAGGATGTGATTCAAATTTGAAAGAAAGCCAAATGAGACTAATCAAGAAATAATGAAGAGGGGCATGGTATTTACATTACCAAATACTCAAAACTGCCACTCAAGTAAAATAAGTGGTATAAAACAGCATGTAGAAAAGAGTCAAATAAGATTGTAACATGATAACACACATTTCAAAATGAGTGGATGATTCAATGAATAGTACACAGATGACTTGCTAACCATCTAAAAAAAAAATTTTACTGAGGATCTATATCTTATGCATGTGATACCACATCCAGCCTTAACATTACTAGATATGTTAAAGTTTGTGGTTGGGTGCAGTGGCTCACACCTGTAATCCTAGCACTCTGGGAGGTTGAACCAGGAACCTCTCTGGAGCTCCCTTGAGGAATTGAAGACCAGCTTAAAGAACAAGGCTCTACCTTTACTAAAAATAGAAAAAGGCACCTGTGGCTCAAGTGGCTAAGGCACCAGCCAAATACACCTGAGCTGGCAAGTTCGAATCCAGCTTGGGCCCGCCAAACAACGATGGCTACAAACAAAAAAAAAATAAATAGATGGGCATTGTGGCAGGTGCCTGTAGTCTCGGCTACTTGGGAGGCAGAAGCAGGAGAATCGCTTGAGCCCAGGAGCTGGGGGTTGCTGTGAGCTGTGATGCCACAGCACTCTACCCAGGGTGACAGCTTGAGGCTCTGTCTCAAAATAAATAAATAAAAACAGAAAAAATTAGCCAGGCATTGTGGCAGCTGCCTGTAAGTCTCAGCTACTCTGAAGGCTAAGGCAAAAGGATCACTTGAGCCTGGGAGGTTGAGGCTGCTGTGAGCTAGGCTGACACCATGGCACTCTAGCCTAGGGCAACAGAGTAAGATAGAGTACTCTGCCTTAAAAAAAAAAAAAAAAGTCTGAGGCCAGGTGCGGTGGCTCACACCTGTAATCCCAGCACTCTGGGAAGCCAAGGTGGGTGGATTGCCTGAGTTCACATGTTCGAGGCTAGCTTGCAAGAGCAAGACCCTGTCTCAAAAAATAGCTGGGTGTTGTGGTAGGTACCTATCCCAGCTACTTGTGAGGCTAAGGCAAGAGAATCACTTGAACCCAAGAGTTTGAGGTTGCTATTAGCTGTGACACCATGGTACTCTACCAAGGGCGATATAGTAAGACTCGGTCTCAAAAAAAAAAACAAAAACTATAGTAATTTCAGACATGTCTGCCTGGCTTCCAGGGCCCACAGCACTCTGACTTTGCAACACCAAGCCATGGGAGGGCTCTGTCCTCTAAAGAGCTAGGCCATGGGTCGGCACCTGTGGCTCAAGCGGCTACGGCGCCAGCCACATAGGGTTAGAATCCAGCCCAGGCCTGCCAAACAACAATGACAACTACAACCAAAAAATAGCCAGGTATTGTGGCAGGCACCTGTAGTCCCAGCTACTTGGGAGGTGGAGGCAGGAGAATCACTTAAGCCCAGGAGTTGGAGGTTGCTGGGAGCAGTGATGCCCAGCACTCTACCCAGCTTAAGGCTGTCTCAAAAAGAAAAAAAAAAAAAAGAGGTAGGCCTTGGAACCAAAGCCCAGAGCTGTTTCTGCTCTGCACACTAATACAGGGACTGGACCACAGGTACCTTAACTAGCTGGGTCTTCAGTTTCTTGTCCTTTCTAACAGGTAATATCCAGTTTTCTACTTTAATGAGGACCCCTAAAAAAGGAGAATCACTAGCCAAATTCCTGCCTTCCTTCAAAATTCCACCTCTTCCCAGTTATTCCAGACCACATTAAACATTCCCTATTTGGATTCCAAATGAACATCATGTTCCTAAGTAATAAGCCTCTTCATCACATTCTGCCTCCCAATATCCTTTACAGTGTAAACATTAAGAAGACTAAGAAAAATATTAGCTAAAGGACCAAGAAGCAACTCTTACTGTTGCCCCTTACAAGATCTTTCAAATTTAAGGTCCACCCTTATCAATTTAGAATGGAAAAAGCTGGAAGTTTACAAGAATTCCAAGAAATGGGGGGGCACCTGTGGCTCAAAGGGGTAAGGCGCTGGCCCCATATGCCAGAGGTGGCAGATTCAAACCCAGCCCTGGCCAAAAAAAAAGAATTCCAAAAAACAAAAATGAACTAAAAACCGTACTTACTGGGTTTAACAGACTCCAAAGGAACAAACACTTGAGCCAGAGGTGTATTCTGTGAAGATGGAGAAGAAGCCAATGGGCCAGCCTCCCAGGACCAACCTGGAGAGGACTTAGTACCTGGTGGCACTTCTTTAGGGATGCTTTTCTGTGAGACATAATTCCTGCAAAGAAATTAAAAATACCAAAGACTAGCTAAAATCGTAGAGAACTCAAAGTATCTATGATTAAGTTTTCTATATAAGAAAGGAAAAAATACATAACTTTAGACAAGTTATCTAACCTATGCCTCAGTTTCCTCATCTGTTAAACAAGAATAATAGAGGAACTTACCTCAAAGGGCTGTCATAAGAATTAAATGAAGAATTAAGGATATGGAAAGCACTTAAGAGTATCAGGACAGAATAAAAACCCAATAAACTGGAGCTACTATAACTAAGGTTATTCATGTTGTAGCTGTCAGGCAATCCCTAACAAGTAGCTCGGTAAGGTTAAGTTTCCCAGTGATCACCAGAGCAACATAAGCTATACGGATGATACACAAATTACACTGATGCCTTTACACATTATGCTTTTGTCCACTCGGAGCGCAAAATGAAAACATGGTGGAAAACTCAAGCCAGAGAGGCAAAGTAACCTACCCTGCCAAGTGGCTGAAAGACTAAAACTACAAGAAAAAAATCTCTGGGTAGTGAACAGAAAGAAACTTTCTGCATACCTCTATTTCTGCCAGGGAGCCCTGTGGTTCTATCAGAAACACAAGCTCTCTTCCAGGGGTGGGGAACCTATGGCCTTCTGATTTCAGAATTGTTCTTTTTTAAGCACCAACAGAGGCAAGAAAAGCTTCATCTTTCCCTGCTGCACCCCTTTTAATAAAAGAATTGGTTCAAGGCCGGGTGCAGTGGCTAATCCTAGCACTCTGGGAGGCCAAAGCGAGTGGATTGCTTGAGCTCAGGAGTTGGAGACCAGCCTGAGCAAGACAGCGAGACCCCCATCTCTATAAACTAACCAAATGTTGTGGTAGGTGCCTGTAGTCCCAGCTACTCAGGAGGCTGAGGCAAAAGAATTGCTTAAGCCCAAGAGTTTGAGGTTGCTGAGAGCTATGATGCCATGGCACTCTACCAAGGATGACAAATCAAGATTCTGTCTCAAAAACAAAAAAAGGATTGGTTCTATAAAATTTGGATTCAGTTCAAAGGCTGCACTCAAGGACCTAGAAAGCTAAGAGTTGCCTTAAGCCCACAGGTCCCCCACCTCTGCACTGGTTTTGGGGAAGGCCAACTGCTAATTTTCCAGAGGCAAATGAATCTATGAATGTTTTTACATTTCATACATTAAAGATCCTCTACCATTAGGAATATATACTATAAAACACCCCCTAGTGGCTCGGCACCTGTGGCTCAAGCGGCTAAGGCACCAGCCACATACACCTAATGTGGCGGGTTCAAATCCCCAGCCTGGGCCCGCCAAACAACAATGATGGCTGCAACCAAAAAATGGCCAGGTGCTATGGTGGGCGCCTGTGGTCCCAGCTACTTGGGAGGCTGAGGCAGGAGACTCGCTTGAGCCCAGGAGTTGGAGGTTGCTGTGAGCGTGATGCCATGGCACTCTACCCAGGGGTATAGCTTGAGGCTCTGTCTCAAAAAAAAAAAAAAAAAAAACACCCCCTAGTGCCTCCAAACTGGAAATTATGTAAATGTCTACTAGAGAGAAATGATTATACTCACATAATGGATTATAATGTAGCTATAAAAAAGAATGAGGCATATTTACATAAACTCATACAGAAACGTGTCAAAGATATAACATAATACCAAAAAGACATGCAGGAGTACAGTATGTAAATTATGATCCTTATTTGTGTAAAAAGCCACAGTAAAGCACTACTACATGCATATAAAAAAGCAAAGAGGCCAAGGCGGCACCTGTGGCTCAAAGGAGTAGGGTGCTGGCCCCATATACCAGAGGTGGCGTGTTCAAACCCAACCCTAGCCAAAAACTGCAAAAGAAAAAAAAAAAGCAAAGAGGCCAGATACAGTGGCTCATGCCTATAATCCCAACACTCTGGGAGGCTGAGGAGGCAGGATTTCTTGTGGCCAGGCATTCAAGAACAGCCTGGGAAACATAGCAGAACTTCATCTCTAGAAAAAATTTAAAAATTACACAGGGGTGGTGGCGTGGCCTATAGTCCCAGCTATTCAGGAGGCTGAGGTGCGATGATTGCTTGAACTCAGGAGTTGGATGTTGCAGTCAGTTATGAGCACTCCAGCCTGGAAGACAGTGAGATCCTGTCTCTAAATAAATAGCGAAGAAGGAACATTCAGCATTGTTCTTAGGGAACCATATGTGGTACTTTCTGTTAATGTATTTCTTAAATTTTGTTTAACTTCAAATTACACGGCAAATCAAGAAAAAACATAAATAGCAAAAACATCACCATCATCAACTGTTGCCAAGTCTTTATATAAACCCCTTTGCAGATGCCTTGGCCACATCATGTATTTTCCTATGATTTAGGGGAGTAAAAAGAGGAAAGCAGGAGCAGCAGATTATATTTTTTTGTTGGGCTTTTTCAGGCAGAGTCTCACTATGTTGTCTTGGGTACAGTGCTGTGACATCATAGCTCACAGCAACCTCAAACTCCTGGGTTCAGGCAATTCTCCTATCTTAGCCTCCCAAGTAGCTGTAGCTGGGACTATAGGCACCTTCCACAACACCCAGTTAATTTATTTTTTCTATTTTCAGTACAGACCAGGTCTCACTCTTGCTCAGGCTGGTCTTGACCTCATGAGCTCAAGCCATCCACCTGCCTCGGCCTCCCAGAGTACTAGGAATACAGGTGTGAGCCACTATGCCTAGCCCAGATTAAACTTTTAATAGAAGACACCCCCTCCTCAGGGTGAGAGGTCTCTGACTTACAGCACCACTTCCTGGCCCTTGTGTGATGAGAGGAAACTATACCTATCGGCAAAATCCTTCCACTTCCCCTTCCCATTAGACTCACAGAGGACCAGCAGATGACTGTGGTGAGACAAGATCGAGCAAGTTCTGGTCTCCAGAAGGGCTTTGACTACTACCACCCAGCAGTGTGCTGGAAGAGGAATTCCTCTTTTCCTTACAACAATTCTGACCAGCAACCTGTCAAAATAGAAATGGCTGAATTAAGACCGGTATGATGACTGTCAGCCAGGGTAAAACCATGGCTCAGCTCCCCTGAGCCCACCAAAGCTGTAGCCCAGGTTTATTACATTTCTTGGGGCAGAAGGAGAAAGAAGAGACAAGACAACATGTTTCCCGAGCAAACCTTCACAAAGCAGAAGCCAGGTGCAACTGAGGAGGGAAGGGGTATAAGGAGAGGAAAAAGGGGGTTCTAGTCAGATGGTATGGGTGAGGAAGAGGCTTTGTATCTCCAAGTCCACGAACCCTACCAGGCAAGCACAGTAGCACCTTTCTCCCCTACCAGGTAGCACTGCCTCATGAAGGCAAGTTTGAGAGACCCTCCCCTTCTTTCTCTTGGCCCTGGTAAGAGAAATAATTACAAGTAATCCACCAACTTCTCGGGCCTAAAATAAATAAGAGCTGGGGAGTGTGCGGGGGGGCAGAAAAATTGGATTGGATTTGTAAAGGTTATAATGGGTAGAAATTATATAAGGTCCAGATGAGAACACAATTCCTTACCTTGTTCATAACAGGAGCATCACTGATTCCTGTAAGGAAGGAAGAGAGTAAGATAGATAACAGTAACTCTACCTGCTTCAAGGTGATAACCAATACCATGTCCACCCATTCTAGGACATTACCCAAGGTCACTCAACTCATCCTTGGAAAATCTGTGACTGATGTGCAAAAGGGACTTCTCTGAACTGCCAAGCATACCTGAGTCACTCAAAAGCAACATATGCTCCCTAGAGGGAATCAGCTTTCTCTCTCTCTATTCAAAACCTTCTGAGTCTATACTCTCTACAGAGTCCCCTCACCTAAGGCTTCCAGGTCCTGATGAAGCAAAGATGGTGCGACAGCCCCAGCCTGCGTAGATCCATCATCCACTTCTAAGTCAATCAGGGGACAGTTTTGCATGGAGCCTGTTGGATTCTGAAAGACTAAAAAACATACAAGGTTAGGAAAATAAGCCAGATATGACAGCAAAATCTCCCCTTAATTTTTTTTTTTTTTTGAGACAGAGCCTCAAGCTGTCACCCTGGGTAGAATGCCGTGGCGTCACAGCAACCTCTAACTCCTGGGCTCAAGTGATGCTCCTGCCTTTGCCTTCTAAGTAGCTAGGACTACAGGCCCCCTCCCCAACGCCCAGCTATTTTTTGTTGACATCATCACTGTTGTTTGGCAGGCCCAGACTGGATTTGAACCTGATGTAGCTAATGCCTTAGCTGCTTGAGCCACAGGCACCAAATCTCCCTCCCCTTAAATTCTATTGGATTCTCTCAGGCTTCGTCCTAATCAACCCTTTTAGAGTGTGCTGACCCACAATCCAATCTGGACCATGAAGTAGGCAGAGTACAGCCTGCCTACTCCAAAGACCACAGGGTCTTCCTCTAATGGTTCCATTACCCTGAATAGAACAAACTTCTCCAGCTCAGGGCCTTCAAGTGGGTCAGAATCACCATAGTACATGACAAACAGATAGCCAGACCCAGCTCCAGGCAGTCTTAATTCATATAAGGTTCAAACCAGGGACCTATGGGGTTGCACTTTATTGAGTGTTCTGGGTGATTTATTTTCTTCTTTGTTGTTATTGTTGTTTTTGAGATAGAGTTTCACTTTGTCTCCTTGGGTAGAGTACTGTGGTGTCATGGCTCACAGCAACCTCAAAACTCTTGGGCTCAAACGATCTTCTTGCCTCAGCTTCCCTAGTAACTGTGACTTTAGGCATCTACTACAATGCCCAGCTATTTTTAGAGACAGAGTCTTGCTCTAGCTCAAGCTGGTCTTGAACTCTTGAGCTTAGGCAATTCACGTGCATCAGCCTCCCAGAGTGCTAGGAATTCTACGTGATTCTGATACAACTAGCCCGGCACCAGGAACCACTGAGGAAAACCATTTCTTTGGTCCATAAGTAACTACTCATGAGAATGCAAATGCAGGTATAACTTAGGCATCTCCTTCTGTACATAGCCAAAGCTGAGATCTAGCCTGGCAGTCAGCTTACAATGCCTCCTATGGCAGAGACTGGCTATGTGAAATCTGTTTTCCTTTTCCCAGAACAGGAACTGAGGGCAGGCAACTTCTCTCATTTCTGTGCCATAACACAGAATATTCTGAGGACCCATTTCTTTTCTGTGATTTGCAGGCTGCCCGAAGCAGAAGGGAGGGAGAAACTTGCAAACGTACCTCTGGAGACAGGTATGTCTCCCACTGAGTTGGTCACTGTATGTCCAAAGGTGACACGGCCCTCCATCACCTGTTTGTACAACAGAACTCCTTGGGTGAGGAGGTCATTTGCCTGGAGAATCTCAGCTGAAAAATGAGAGAAGAATCAGAACCCTAGGTTTAGCTACCAAAAATCTCAGTCTTGTCATTCCGCAGAGCAGCCTACAGGAGGCTTGACTAGATTTAGTTTATCCATGACTCTTGCCCCTAGATCATACAAGCAGGCCCTATCAGGCCTAGTCACTTAACCCCTGAGACCTAAAATTCTTGGTTCCCAATGCAGGAGGAAGCAAATGTCTTCACCTTCTATGTCTGGTTATCTAATACAATGGCTGGCAGTAAGCACTCTAAATATAGCTCCTTCAATGAGGAACTAAAACTTTTATCTTTAATTTTCCTTTTTTTTTTATTGTGTACACAGGTAAGAACTTGCTATGTTTCCCAGGCTAGTCTGAAACTCTTGACTTCAAGTGATCTTCCTACTTCAGCTTCTCAAAGTGCTGAGATTACAGGGTGAGCCACTTTACCCAGCTTTTAATTTTAATTAATAGAAAAATAAGGCAGTGTCCACAGCTCAGTAGGTAGGGCACCAGCCACATACATAGAGGCTGGCAGGTTCAAACCCGGCCCAGGCCAGCTAAACAATGACAGCTACAACAAAAAAAATAGCCACGCTTGTGGCAGGCACACATAGTCTAGCTACATGGTAGACTAGGGCAAGATAATTGCTTAAGCCCAAGAGTTTGAGGTTGCTGTGAGCTGTGATGCCATGGCACTCTACCAAGGGCAACACAGTGAGACTGTCTCAAAAAAAAAAAAAATTTTTTTTTTTTAAATAAAACCTAAACTGATTTTGTCAATGTAGATGCAAATATTAAAATAATTTCTTAGTACTTGATCCAGTTATTGGGAAAGTTTTAATTATTTAAGAAGAAATTATCCTGAGATTCTACTTTTGAACATACAAATTTTAGAAAATATTAAATATAGGCTTGGCGCCTATAGCTCAACCGGCTAAGGCGCCAGCCAGGTACACCTAAGGTGGCAGGCTGGAATCCCCACCCCGGACCCACCAAACAACAATGACGGCTGCAACCAAAAAAAAAAAAATAGCCAGGCGTTGTGGCGGGCGCCTGTGGTCCCAGCTACTTGGGAGGTGGAGGCAGGAGACTCGCTTGAGTCCAGGAGTTGGAGGTTGCTGTGAGCTGTAATGCCACGGCACTCTACCCAGGGGGACAGCTTGAGGCTCTGTCTCAAAAAAAAAAAAAAAAAAGAAAATATTAAATATAGAAGTGGAGCCAGGTGGACTGCTCAGGAGTTTGAGACCAGCTTGAGCAAGAGTGAGACCCCATCTCTACTAAAAATAGGAGAATTAGCTAGGCGTAGTGCTATACACCTATAGTCCCACCTGCTTGGGAGGTGGAGGAAAGAGGATTGCTTAAGCCCAAGAGTTTGAGGTTGCTGTCAGCTATGACACAACAGCACTCTACCTAGAGCAACAGAGTGAGACCCTTTCTCAAAAAAAAGAAAAGAAAGAAAAAAAGAAAGACAGTATTAAATACAGATCAAGTATTTATGACAAAATTTTAGGTCCACAGTGAAAACATGCCAAAGTATAAAACATACACTGGGACTGGGCATGGTGGCTCATGCTACTAGAATCCTGGCACTCAGGGAGACCAACGAGGAAGGATCATTTGAGGCCAGCCGTCCAAGACCCACTTGAATAATACAGTAAGATCATACCTCTACAAAATATCAAAAAATTAGCTGGGCATGATGGCAGGTACCTATTTCCAGCTACTCAAGAAGCTAAGGCAGAATCACTTGAGCCCAAGAATTTGAAGTTGCAGTGAACTATGATGCTACTGCTGTACTCTAGCCTCGAAAGAGAGTGAGACCCTGTCTCATTCATAAATTCATAAACAAATTTTAAAAAACCCCAAAACATGAAACACGTACTAGACTTTAAAAACTACATGAACCCAGTTCTGGTTTATTGGCTTATCTGCAGACAACTCTCTCCTAGGAGAGACAGAATAGCAATGGGGGCGAGGGGAGCGGCGGCACATATAACTCTGCAAGCCAAAGTGCTGAAAGATTATCAAGTGCTACAGTCACCAACTGCTTATTTCCTGCCAATTTTTTGACCGTGGACAAAGGTTGCAAACTGACAAGATGGGGCTGAATTCAATGCTAAGTGATTTTTTGGCATGTTGCAAGTACGTTAAAAACTCAAATTTGGGGCGGCGCCTATGGCTCAGTGGGTAAGGCGCCAGCCTCTTATACCAAGGGTGGCGGGTTCAAATTCAGCCCCAGCCAAACTGCAACAAAAAAATAGCTGGGTGTTGTGGCGGGCACCTGTAGTCCCAGCTACTTGGGAAGCTAAGGCAAGGGAATAGCCTAAGCCCAGGCTCGGCGCCTATAGCTCAACCGGCTAAGGCGCCAGCCACGTACACCTAAGGTGGCGGGTTCGAATCCCCAGCCCGGACCCGCCAAACAACAATGATGGCTGCAACCAAAAAATAGCCGGGCGTTGTGGCGGGCGCCTGTGGTCCCAGCTACTTGGGAGGCTGAGGCAGGAGACTCGCTTGAGCCCAGGAGTTGGAGGTTGCTGTGAGCTGTAATGCCACGGCACTCTACCCAGGGGGACAGCTTGAGGCTCTGTCTCAAAAAAAAAAAAAAAAAAAAAAAAAGAATAGCCTAAGCCCAAGAGCTGGAGGTTACTGTGAGCTGTGATACTATAGCACTCTACCAAGGGCAATAAAGTGAGACTCTTATCTCTAAAAAAAAAAAAAGTCTAGAATTTGCTCCAAAATTGACTAGGCTATTGGTGAATACAAGGAGAGAGACATAGATAGAGTAAAACCCAAAGATCAGCCGTTTAAGAAACAACAAAAAGGCTTGGTGCCCATAGCACAGAGGTTACGGCACTAGCCACATGCATTGAGGCTGGTGGCCAGCTGAACAGCAATCACTACTGCAACAACAACAAAAATAGCCGGGTGTTGTGGCAGGCACCTGTAATCCCAGCCACTAGAGAGGCTGAGGCAAGAGAATCACTTAAACCCAAGAGTTTGAGGTTGCTGTGAGCTGTGACGCCACAGCACTCTACCAAGGATGACATAGTAAGACTGTCTCAAAAAGGCTTGGCACCTGTAGCTCAGTGAGTAAGGTACTGGCCACACACTGAGGCTGGTGGGTTCGAACCTGGCCCAGACCTGCTAAACAACAATGATCACTGCAACCAAAAAATAGCTGAGCGTTGTGGCGGGTACCTGCAGTCCCAGCTACTTAGGAGGCTGAGGCGAAGAGAATCGCTTAAGCCCAAGAGTTAGAGGTTGCTGTGAGCTGTGACGCCTTGGCACTCTACCAGGGCAACATAGTGAGACTCCATGATAAATTTTCTTCTCCTACCTAATCTCCATGGTAAATTTTCTTTCTTCTAGCTAATCTCCACGGTAAATTTGCACTTCTTTCCAGGCTTTCAGATCTGCTGATTCTTTCACAAGCTTAGATTCTTCTTGAAATCATTTCTAAGGTAATCAAACCAAATCACTACAGAACCTAGAGTACACTTTGCCTTAATCCTGGCACCAGAGCAGCACAATAAAAGAACTATGTCTGTTATGCACTTAGGGTGCTAGCTATGCTTAGGAAAATAAAACTGTTACCAAGCGCGTCATCATCATCAGTGGTGTCACTTGCCAGCCGGAACAGGGTAGGCCGCAGCTTTTCACACCTTTCATACACGACCTAGAAAAACAGAGTTTGGTTCACAACAGCAGAAACTATGACTTCAGAAGCCTGCCTCAGTCTGTCCCAAACTCATGATTACAGATTTGAAGTAACATGGGAGTTACCAGTTTCAGAAAAAGTTTGGGCTACAAGTCTAAAACTTTTTTCTAAAATAAATTTTAAAAGTGACAAAAAGCCTTAGCTCAGAAGGAACTCACCATCTCCATGAGCACAATATCATTGCTTCCTCTAGCTCCTTGCCTCTGTCCATGGCTGGGTGGCATTAACAACAGGGTAACTTCTGCTTTACCCCTGACATCCAAACCTCCCATCCTATTGACTTTATAACTCTCTCATGATGCTCACCTACATGGTTCCCTTGGAGCCAAACCTCATTTTCCTCAAACACATCTGGAAAGTTTAATATTCTTCACCTGAGGACAGTGCTCTGGACAATGTCATCCTCATACTGGTAATAGGGAGACACAGCTTCTGTACCTGTTAGGTTTCCTTCCTTGCAATGCAAGGGAGCTCTATCAACAAAGTCAACACTATAGGCCTCCCTCTGCAGATCCCCCTTCCACCCAGGGCTGATGAAATGACATTATCTGGCTGGAGTCTGAGAGAGGAGGCAGAAAGGAACTCATTCTTACCCTTTGTTCTTGGGAGCTACCTGCCTATAAGGAGCTGCATTCCTTACAACTACATGCTGTATGTTTTAAAGGTGGCAGCTCCAAGGTGGTTGGACTAGAAACCAGCCACATCAGGAGGTGGAAGGTTTAATATTTATTTGCCACATTTTCCAAACCGATATAAAGAGAACATATTTGTTCTATGTGCCTCTCTCCTGATTCTTAGTGGGTTATCTTCTTGCTGGGGATGGATTATGTTGCCTAAAAGCCCAACACACTGACCTTCCTAAGGGACCCTAGTATAATCTCACCATGGAAGATGGACTTTGGAGTATCTGACTTGGGCAAGCCCAGCACCATTCTGAAACTGTCCCCTTCACTTACACAGGAAAGTCAGTGTGCTTTTCACTCTCTGTCCAATTCCAATCACAGCTGACTGAGCCAGGGATAGATAAATGAGCCAAGGAGTTTGGAAGTGAGAAAGACTAGTTTCATTCCTTTAATCTTGTGAAATGGAAGGGCAGGTAAATACAGGAGTTATGTATAAGCCATTTCTCCTGTACAGAGAAACAAAAACCTGGAATGCAACAAGAGAAGGCTGAAACAGACCTGCAGAGGGAGGTAGAGAAGAGGGCTCCAAGAGAGACTAACAATGGTTGCCTTAGGCCTAGTACGGATGGGAGGTGTTGTCTTAGGTGTGGGAACAAAACCAGTAAGTAAGGGGGGGGGGGGCAGTCTCATAGCTCTTTGGAATTCAGGTGTCCAATCTCCACTGGAAGAACTCCCCCCACCCCCCCCCAAAAGAAGAAATGAGGAAAAAAGAATAAATTGAACTTCACCAAAATTAAAAGTATCTTTTATTTTTTGAGAGTCTCATTCTGTCGCCCTGGGTAGAGTACTGTGGCTCACCGCAACCTCAAACTCTTGGATTCCGGCAGCCTGTACCTCAAAGCAATAGGGCACCAGCGCCATATACTGGAGGTGGTGGGTTCAAACCTAGCTCCGGCCAAAAACTGGAAAAAAAAATTAACGCTTTAGCCTCCTGAACGTGGGACTACAGGAACCCATGATGATACTCAGCTAATTTTTCTATTTTTAGCAGAGACAAGGTCTTGCTCTTGCTTAGGCTGATCTTGAACTTCTGAGCTCAAGCAATCCACCTGGTTTAGCTTCCCAGAGTGCTAGGATTACAGGTGTGAGCCACTGTGCCTGGCAACATCTGTATTTCAAAAGATACTGTCAAAATAGTAAAAATACAACCCAAAGAATGGGAGAAAACTAATTAAGTCAAGTCTGATAAGAGGCTTGTATCCAGAATACATAAAGAACACTTTTAACTTAAAGACAACCCAAAAGACGGACAAAGGTTTTGAAGAGACCCTTCTCCAAGATATACAAGTTCCCAATAAGCACAAGGAACTTGAGATACCACTTCATACCCCCTAGGATGGCTTTAATCAAAAAGTCAGACAAAACTGAGTATTGGAAAGATGTGGAGAACTGAAAACCTCCTAAATTGGAATGTAAAATGGTGTAGCCACTTAGGGAAAATAATTTGGCAGTTCCTCAGAATGTTAAGTATACAGTTACCATATGATCCAGCAATTCTACTCCTTTAAGTTCACAAAACTTGTAAATGAATATTCATAGGCATTATTCACAATAGGCAAATGCCTATCGACAACCTAATGCCTATCAGGTGATAAATAGTTAAACAAGGCTCAGCGCCTGTGGCTCAAGTGGCTATATACACCTAAGGTAGCAGGTTTGAATCCAGCCCGGGCCTGTCAAACAACAATGACGGCTGCAACCAAAAAATAGCAGGGCGTTGTGGCAGGTGCCTGTGGTCCCAGCTTGGGAGGCTGAGGCAGGAGACTCGCTTGAGCCCAGGAGTTGGAG